GCAGGAGTAAAACCAGATGGAACAACTGTAAGGGGAAAGAGGCTGTGTGTGTTCTTCTTTCCTTCAGCAAGTCTCCCACTACATGCTTGGGATGATGTTCTCAGGTACTGGTGGAGCCAGTCCAGCTGGTGGCAGACACAGTAAGAGCACAAGGCATGCAAGCTATAAGGTTAAGGAAGCATATTTCTCAGGTTTGAGAGCAAACTAAGTCTACATTTTTCAAAGCCCATTAAGAAAGATAGATCCCTTTACTGTTGTCTTTACCATCTGACTTGCTACCTGCATTAGACTGTTGCCTTAGGTTTTCCCTTGGAATTATAAAGGTAAAAAACAGATAATTGTTCTCAACGGGTATGTTCTAAGATGTGAGGAAATCCCTGTGTTTTGGCAAAAGCATTTAATGATATCTGTGGAACTCAGAATGCTCCTGCCTGGTTGCAAACAATGGCCACGAATGAACTGGCTTCTCAAATTCAGTTCCATGAAATATCAGGAACAAAACGTGCTTTGTTCTTGGGTTTTGTTTCTCGGAATCCTGGGAACAATGGGATGAGTTTCATGGCCAACTAAAGATGTTCAAACTATTACATTTAAGGATCCTTGTTTCAGCTGGATCACTAGTGAAACAGATTTATTATTTTCTTATTTATTTTTATTTTTTAAACATTTTAATTTATTTAGCTATACCTTTCACACATCATGTATCTCAAAGTGCTAGAGAGCCCTAATAGTGTAACGAAAATATACATGCCCTTCTGTAGTCAGCAGCAGAAGGCCCACAGTCTGGAGCATCTTTGCCTCCATGACAGAATTATCTGAAATATGCTTGACACAGCATGTCAGTAGTTCCATATCAAAATCTGTTTTAAATTAAAAAAAAAAAAAAAAGTAGAAATTTACATTTTTTTTTCTTCTTCTTCTTTCTTGCTTGCATCCTGCAAACAACAATGCAAAGAGTGCTATTTGCTCAAAATACCTAAACTAATATACTAATATCTCTCTGATACTCTTCTACTACACTTCATTAGATAGTAAAGGAAAGGTAGCATTGTCTATTGACTTTGAAAATGATACAGGAAGGAACTTAGATATAGCATGTGAGAAAGATGGCAGCTCTAATACAGTGCTGTCCCTGCAGTGCCATGGCACTACACCTCATAGTCTTCTTTGGGACAACTGAACTTCATCTGCTTCCATACTGAGATGTTTTCCAGCTCACTAAATCATGTTCTTCCTGCTAAATGGAGATGAATACTAATACGGGGACACATTCTCCAGCCATTATTCAGGGAAAGTTGATGCTTCAGCAAGAGCTTTGTCAGAAGATGGATTATAGAATTCAGCCTAAGATTTAGAAAGAGTGGCCATCCTTTTGTTTGGGTAATAAAATCTTAAAAATAAGACCCAAATGCATTATAATGCTGGCAAATGGTTGTGACTGTTCTCACATTCCTTGTGGCAGAATCTTATTACTTTCATTGAGAGTGTCTTTGGAGTGGTGTATGTATTAGTAAATTAAAGACCAATAAAGTGATTTTTCTGATACTTTATCTTAATTCTGGTAGGACAGTACTTTGTTTCTGTAGTTTGAAAAATAAGAATTACTTGAAAGTAGCCTTTTCTGTATTCCAGGGGTGATTTGCCCTCAGTTGTCTAAAACCCGGTCCTCTATTGTAGAGGCTTATCTTTCCTTCTGGTGCTGATGAAAGGCCCCTGAGATGCTCTGATTGCTTCCCAGTAGCTCCTGCCACCTGACTGACTGCCTGGTTGGTTGTTTGGATTGCTGCATTCCCTGAGGTCACAAAGATGTTTTTATCTGCACGAGAGTCACTTTCTTTTATTAGAAGCCTGCCTAGGTGCAACTGATATGCAGTAGGGACCAAGTGGTGAAAAGAAACCAATATACTAGCTCTCTCTAGAAGGCCGACAGATTGGATTTTCAGAAATCTTCCAAACACCCTGTGAGTTTTGACTCAGGAACTTCATCACATTTCACGTATTAAATCCTCACTTTGCTAAGATGTCCCTTCAGCCCATGTTTCTTGCCTGATTTGCATGTTGTCAGATGCTGTTGCTAATCTCTGTAGTTGATGTTTGCTTAAGTGATTATTTGGCAGAAGTGTGTGAGCAGGCGTGTGTGTTTGATTGCCGTTGGCATGGCAGTTAGTTTGATATGGCATTAGCATACTTGCTCCATGCTGCAGGCTGCCTCCTCTTCTAGGCTTTCTCAAGCAACAGAAGATTAGGGGGTGGGGAATGAAACCAAACAACCCCAACCCACCCTAGGAGATCCAGTTATGGTATGGGCAGTTTGACTAAAGACCTGCAGAACTCACAGGAGCCTAAAGGTTGTTTCCACTTTTCCCGCGGTTAATAATCATCACATGTCCTCCACCAGCAGAGGATTTATAAAGAGCTGCAGGGATTATGGACTGCATAAATAGGAGTAGCTATTTTGAATCTAGTGTTTTAGGAATTGCCCTGCCCTAGCAAAACAGTGTAGGAACTGAGTTTATGGGGTGATAAAGAAGGCAAACTCAAAAGCCCTTTGTGGCTTCTAGCTTTAAATAGGATGCTGAGGTCAGTTTGTGTTTCAGACTCATTGTTTGTCCGCTTGGATTATAGAGGTATGTTTGCCTTTTAAAACCAGTCAGTCATCCCAGTCACTTGTAATTTAACTATAATCTTTGTAAATCTTATGCATTAGAACAGCTTTATGTGCCATGAGTTATTTCACTGGGAATAGTGGGATTACTTAGACAATGGAAAAAAAGCATATGAAACCTTTGCTGGATCAATGCCTTAATCTAGAAGATTAACACAGCTGAAGTGAGTGTTTTATGATACTGTATGTGTTCAGGCTCATACCTTTTATGTGTAGGTGGGGATGACATCTCTTGTGATAAGTTTCAGAGCAATGTGTTTACTGTGGTGTCTTTGGTATCCTCTCTTTAACTGTGAGCTCCTCAAGTATTTTATATTGAAAGTCAAACTATTGGAGAGCTGATGTGAACTTCTGTCCATCAATATTAATAACTGTACTTTTCCAAGGCTTTCTGATGTAAGCTTCTGTCCATCAACATGAATAACTGTATTTTTTGAAGGCACAGTGTCTGCCAGGCATAACCCATTGCCCAAACCTTTTACCTTACAACCTTCTAGCACTGAAAAGTTTGGACATCATCCTGAGGGCAGGTGGATGCTTCTGTCTGTCCACTAAGAGCAGCCTCTGTTTTCACCTGTGAAAGGAGAAAACTTTTGGACATAACATTTGAGATGGCTTTGTAAAGCTGTCAGAAATCAGTAATGTGGCAAAGTGGGGACCATTTTTCTACCTGCCCCCAGCAATCTGCAGAATTGGTAATGTTTTTGTGATGAAAGAATCCCAACTTTAAAAAGGATAGGAATGAGAGCAAGGAGTTTCACCTTCTTTTCCTCCTACTCATGAGTCTGACCTAGGAAATTATTTTCAGGCTACTTTCAAAAATGGATCCTTATAATCTTCTGCAACTGAGATAATATTTACAAACACATCTGTTTGTGTAGTAGCGAAACATGAAAAGTGGTTCTGGCTTTCCTTTGGTTGCTTCTCTGAGCCCAAATGCAGCAAATCTGTGCTGGCTTTCACAAAGGGTGTGTGCTCTTGTGAATGGCTGGAATTTGAATACAGCTATATGAGGAAAAGACTGAAAACCAAGTGTACCATATTACAGCATGTACTTTGTTCATTTAATTGCTATGTACTATAGTTTGAATTATTTATGACTATACCTACAAGGAAGTATATAACTGAGAACCTCTTTCTTGTGCTAATCACAGCAGTAGGTTGAGTGGATATGTAGACTGAACACTTTTATACAAGAAAAAAATAATTAGATGTGTAGATGCTTTGCCCCAACATTGTGCTTTACACACACATCAGAAGTGCCTCTCTGTTTGGAGAAACTTTCCAAACTGTAGGGATGCATCTTTAAAATGTGTTATCTAACTTCAGACTTTCCAATTGCACAATAAATACTATAAATGACAAGTTCACTTCTTTCTGTATTGACACTTTCAGCATGTGCAATAAGGCTCTACTTCAAGATGGGACTTTGCCAACTGAGATTTCTCAAGTAGGTGGGAATTTCTCATCTTATTTAAATGGGGAATTCTGAAACAAACAAACAAAAAAAACCCAGAGCAGGAGAAGTTTGTGAAGTGTAAATTACATGTCTAAGTCAAGAAAAGTTGAAGCTTAAATATTTCACATCAGGACTATCAAAATAGGAATTCTTGATTACTAAATTCAGTAACTGTTCCAAGTCAGTGAAAACATAGTTCATACATGAACATTTGCAGTATTTAATGGGTATCAAGGGAATGAAAACCAGAAATCAAAACATATATGAGACAGATATGCTATCTACAGCAAACTTTTCATGATGCCCCATGATGTGCAGCTGATGCTGTTCATTTTGGCATTTTGATGATCACGTTTTCTAACAAAAAGAATAGTATAATGTACATTGATAGGCAATGAGAAGTAGAAACTAAAAGCTGAGCATTTTCTGAAACTTATCCTTTCCTGATCAGCTTAAATTTCTTTCAGAGTAGATATTTTAAAATTAGAATATAACTTACATGCAATTTTTAATAGTTTGTAATTATGATTTATAGTTATTTTCATTATAATTACATGATTTAATACAAATGAAATTTTGATTCACTTTCTCCCCAAAGACTTACACATTTTCTTTTTCAATTGCTCCACAAGACAAAGTGTTTGGTATTTGTTTTTTTTTTTTTTTTTCTCTTCCCATATGATCATAGTTTCTTTAGTTTCTTTTGCAAAACGCATTTTAGCTTTGGTTCAATGTTAGGTTGAGACCCTTAGTGTAGAATATGTATAGTTTTCACTTCCTGATGGTTGTATATGATTTTTCTGAAATGAAGGATACTTGTGCTTTTCCTGTTTTGTTTGTTTTTCTTTAAATCTAATTTATATGTCTTCTACTCAGATCTTCTTGCAGTAGCAGAAGTTCCAAGCTGCAGCAGCTGATCCCAGGTAAGCTGCCTGCATTGCAGGGCCCCATCTACTTCTCTAGTTTCCATACCCTGGTTCCCATCCAATCCCAGTTTGCTGTTTTCTTTCTGTTGCAGCAATAAAAGCCGTGGAATAGATCTGGATTTTTTTTACTAAGGCATGGGTCATGTCCTGTGAGGAGTAGTAGGGCAATTGCACAAGATATGAAAATGGATGTAAGAGTGTGGGTCACATTGTAGAAAGGGCTTATGTGGACTGTTTAAAACTATTTGCAAGTAGTTTTCATCTTCTGTAACTTTAAATGAGCATAGACTTGAAATTTTTTCCCCTGACATAAACCATCCCCATGGACAAAAAACAACTGTTTTGGTTTTGAAGATGTATTTCCATAACTCTCAGTAGCTAAGGTTTTCTTAATCTTAATTATGATTTCCTGTGTATCTGATATCCTTATTTCTATAATACCATCTATGATTTGCTTTAACCTCTCTTCTACTTGAACTGTCTAGTAGGTCATTTTTCATAAATGTTACACATTCTCCTATGTTTCTCATTTTCAGTGGCCTTTTATGGCCCCGTGTTAAGTTATAAATCAGTAGACTACTTGATTGTTTATTTCTGAGAGTGCTCATAATTCATATCCTTATCTAGTGGGCACATGTATCTGAAATGTATCCTGACATTCCAGAACTGCATTATAATTGCTGTAGTCAAACTCTTTTCTATATTACAGCTTAAACATTTAAAAGCTCTTATAAATATTTGTCTACTCTGAAACAATTCTTGAGCTAAGCACAGGGGTATGTTATCTTTTGTCTCAGGGACTTTTTTGATGTTTAGAATGTAAGTTAATTCAGCAATCGTTGGTATATAGTGGCATGTAAATGTGTATGTGTATATATATATATATTTCTTTTCTTTCCACTTAGTTTTGATGCCCATGGTGATTTTTTTCTTTTTTTGGTATTTGTTCAGTTGCCTGGGTTATTGAGAGGACAAAGGCTTCCATACTACAGACTAATCATTGTTTTCTATGAGTAGTGCAACTTGTTACCTTGGTTTGCATTCCTTCTATCAGGTGCTTCAGAAATGCACTTAACAACACTGATTCTAGGCTGATCTTTTGGTCACTACCAGCCAGCCCCCTTCTGTATGAAGAAGTTACTGTTCTTAACATGGGATTCTCAGTTGCTTGACTAATATTTTAAGAGTAACAGGACCTTATCTCTTATCCCATAATTAAAAAGGTATCGTAATAGTTTTTTCTTTGAAAATCCGAACAATTTATATCTAATAAAGAATCCTCTAAAAATCCTGACTATTCTTCCAGATTAGAGAGGGATGATTTATCGTTGTGAAAAAGAGTTTGTAGGGTTTTTATTTCAGGCTAGCTGGTGTACATCTGCCTTTAACGGATTTTTCACAGCTCTAGCTCCTAGTGCTGGAATGCAGTTTAGCACAAGCAAATTTCTCTAGGACTTTGTTTTATTTTATTTCCCCTAACTCTGTCTGACAAGTTCTTTGCTTGTATAACCTTAGGTCTTGCATCTCTCTTCCCTGCTTTCAATTGAAATTTGAAGCAGAGGAACCATTTAAATTCTCTGCAATCTCATTTTCTGCCCCCATTGACTTTTTTGCATCTCAGCAGTCTGCAGGACCCACCAGCTCTTCCAGAGTTCTGCTTTCCCATGTGCTTAAAGAATGCCTTATTACTTGTCACTATGTATTTGCTTCCTTGTTCTTCAACCTTGCTCTTGGACCTCTTACTCTCCATTTTACATCTCACCTGTCAAAGTTGTTCTATTAGTTTCCCTTGTGTTGGATTTCCATTTTCTTTCTCTTAAGGATATTTGAGTGAATAAATTCATTCAAAAAGTGCTCCCCTCCTCCCTCTGAGTGACCAGGAGTATCATCAGTGACTGCACTTTGGCATCTTTTCAGAATATCTGTGCTCAGTCCTTGCATACTTTATTAGAGGAAGGCTTGCAGGGAACACAACGAAGTGACTCTCAAATGCTGTGCTTGAAGTCTGGTTCTCTTAGGACTGGCAACAACCTCCGAAGCGTAATATCCACCATAATAATGTGCTAAGTTAAGATTTCAAAGAATTGTGAGAGAATCCTATATTTGCATACCATGGAAATGTATTGTAACTGTGGCTATTCTCTCTTCCTTTGGAAATCAGTGTAAAAATGTAGCCCAGTTCCTGAGTCAATTATTTTCCATTTTTTGTGACTAACTTTTCTTCTGTAAGCTTCAAGTGAGCTGCCACCATAAGAATTGGTTATACTGACAAGAAATCGTTTATTGAAATCATCTTGTTTTCACATTCCCATAAAATGATATTGTCATCGTCATTAGATCACTGTGTGTTTTACATCGATTATCTCTGGTCTGAGTTGGAGGCTTGTATTCTACCATGGTAGATCAGAACATGGTAGTTGGAAACACTCTCCTAATGTACCTCCTAGCAACAAAATGCTCATTGTAGAGAGCGTGAGAAGGTAGGTTTATACTTCTGACTCAGACAGTCTTTTTGTTGTGTGCTGGGGAGGTGTGTAGAGTACATAGCTCAAGACTGCACTTTTTTTTTTTTTTTTTTTTTTTTTTTTACTTTTAGAATGACCCTCCCTTAAGCATTTCAGCTAAAGGCTTGATCTAAAGTCTACCAAAGTAACTGTATTAAATATATAGTTACTATATGCATATTTATTTATTTGTAATGTTATATATCAAATAGGCTTATTGTGATTTGGATTGGCTGTATAGCTTGTCATTAATTCTTTTTGTTACTGCCTTTTTTTGATTAACACTAAAGCAAACTGTGCTCCAGGAAGCTGTGATACCAGAAATGCAAGCTGATTGTGCTCATGTATATCTAATTTTATGCCCTGATGCTTTCCAGCTGTGGTAAATGGACAACTATTTGAAAACAAGTATGTTGTCAGAGGCAGAATATCCTGTGAAAACCACCCATTTTCCCTGAAGTCTGGCTGTGTTCAATTAATCTGATGCTGACTTAGTCTCCCTGCATCTCCTGGAGAATGTTTTAAATTAAATTCTGTTAGTAACACTCATACTTCTTAAATGTCTTTCATTTAATTCCTAGAATTATCCATATTCTGGGAAAAATTGATGTGTCCACCCTCCTAACCCCTTATTTCTATTATGAAAAAATTGAGGTTTTAAGGTTACAGGTACATTAAGTATATTACCCTTTCAATAATGAATCCCAAACAAATCTTTGGCTTTCAAAATGGCAGGCATCTTTTGTTGTATCCTTCATATTGGAGCTACCCCATATGCTCTGTGGTTGTGGTGGTGGGGGCAGAGTTTAGGCACCTCCTGAAGTGCCTTAGAAGACTGTCAGGACAAGCCTCTTCTCCAGCTTGCATCTCTGTCCACAGATGGATTCAGCAATAGTATGTTATCACCAACTAATGTCACAACAAGCAATCTCAGAGCCTCAGTGCATCTTCTTTCTAATTTGGTGCATGCTGGCATCTCTAGCAGAAGTCAATCAACTTACACAAGTACATGCCAAGAGCAGGAAGGGAAGGCTAACTGATCAGGATGGCAGAAACGTGCTGCTGTATTTATCAGGAGTTTTTGGGTTTGCTGCTACTGGAAGAAGACTTAAAGTAATGATTGTTAATCTCAAAGGTCATTTGGGCTTTTTCTTAAATTCGTGTCTTTAGAGAAAAGGATGTCAGATGGACATATATAGAGAGAAAAGGGTTATGAACTGGAATGTATGCTGGATGGTGCATACCTCCTGTCTTTCTTAATTTTCAGTAAAGCAGTGTGTGCAAGTTAGGTGCATTGCCACTTGTAAGCCCTGTCTCTCAGCATTTCCATATAAGCCTGTTAACTGGATTGGGCTGGGCTTAAGAAAGAGCTCGTTCTTATTCTTGATGAGCTCAAGTGGCTTTTATGCAGGATGCTATGAACAGACACAAGGGCTTAGTGCTGCTTGTCACCACGTGACTCTAAATGCATTACCGCTTTTGCTGGGGTGCACAAAGTATCAGCAGGAGCAGAAGCTAAGTGAGGTTAGAGTTAACCTGCTGCTTCTCCTGATGATGCTTTTAGATCATTTGCCTGTGCTGCTGCTGAACATGGCAAATGAAAAAGCCCACAAGGTGACGACAAGTAGCTTCTGTTTTAAAGTAAATTGTTGTTTAGGTTGAATGAGGGGGAAAACGAGTCTACATTTAATGGTACTCTACTGTGCATAGGCTTTGGGAGTTAAATAACTTGACCTTTCTTAATAGCACACCTGTGTTTGACATTCTGCTGCTGTTGCTGCTGGACCAGGCTGCACAATTAGGGGATTTAGTGGGGGAGGGAAGAGAATAATTTAGTGTCCTGGCCAGAGCTCGGTGGAAACATTTTTAACAGAAAAAAAAACCAAAAGACTGCTGGCCTGGTGCAGGAGTGAGCCTTAAGCTTTGTACAGTGTGTCCATGGGACCTGACGACTCTGTTAGCATGGTGGTGTCATATCAGCACGCTGGTAATGCTCATGTACCCTGCTGGCCCAGCGCTACCCCTGGCTCGAGGAGAATTCATTACTCTGTCTTAAGGGCTGCTTTTCAATACGTGTGTTTTACAGGCAGTGTGCAGCTCCATGCGGTCCCAGAATAGTGGCCATTGATCTAATTCTCCTTTTTCCCTGTTTGCCTGAGGGAACAGAAGGTACACTTGTAGAACTTGCAAATCACAGCAACAGAGGTCACAAGCGCAGTAAAAGTCAAAATGATCTTGACAAATTGGACAGATCCACTGAAATTGAGAGAGTTCTTCTCAGAGAAATGAAACATGCCATCCTTTGAGGTAAATAAAATGCACTCATATAAAATTTGGAAACAAAGTTGTTGTATAGCAGGAGAAGGTCTGACAGCAGTTACTGCAGGCTGCAGAGGATGCTGAGCATTCACCACTAACCCATTTATCCCTGGAAAGCTGAGCTTTGGTCCTGGTTTGTATTGGCCCCTGATAACTTTGTTGCGCATGGACTAA